AGCGGCCGGCAGCCACTCACAGTAGCTTATGGCTGCTCACTGCAGCTTCACTGCAGCCTATGCAGCCATCGGCAAATCACAGATACCCAACTCCAGGTCGAGCTATTGCTCACCATCTTAGCTATAGAAGGCGCAGCATCACTGGCCCTCATGTGGGATCTGAACTGGGGCCCTGCTGCTCAGAGCTGGCGTCCCAAGCCAACTCTTAACCAACGCACTACTTGGCTGGCCCTAGTTTGCCCTTCTTTTAATAGTTCCTTTAGGTTTAAAATAAGACTATAAGATCTTTATGCTTTTTAAATGTAAGCATTTAAAACTATAAGTTTCTCTCTTAATACTACTTTCTAATTCCTAACACTTCCCTTCTAATTCTCTTATGTGTATATTCTATAGATATTTTCTTTTTGGTTAACATGCTAATTACATACAATATTTTAAATTTATGACAGTCTAACTTAACTTGATAGTAACTTAGCTCAATCACATACAAAAACTGTACTTCTATACAGCTCCATTCTCTTACCACAATTTATGTTATGGAAATTATAAATTACATCTTTACACATTGTATTCTGACTGACTTAGGTTTATAAATGTCTATGCATTTATCTTTTAAACTCTGTAGAAAATAAAATGTGGAGTTACAACCCAAAATTCCAATAAAACTGAATTTTATAATTGTTCACTCATTTGCTGGAGATCTTTATATCTTCATATGGATTCTACTTATTGCCTAGTGTTATTTTATTTCACTCTAAAGAATGCCCTTTAGCATTTCTTTTATGGCGGGTCTAATGATAATCAACTCAGCTTTTGTTTGTCTGGGAATGTCTTAATTTCTCTTTCAATTTTATAGGACACTTTTTCTATTTTGTTAAAATAATTTTTAAAATTTTTCAATTAGAGTTGACATGCAATGTATTAATTTCAGGTGTACAACACCATGAGTAGACATTTATATAACTTACAAAGTGATCACCCCAATAAATTCAGTACCCAAGTTATCATACTTAGTTATTACAATCTTACTAAGTGAGTCTCTTGTAGGCAGCATATGTAAGGGTTTTGTTTTCTTATCCATTCAGCCCTCCTATGTCTTTTGAATGGAGTATTTAATCCATTTACATTTAAAGTAATTGTTGATAGATATGTGGTTATTGCCATTTTATTTTTCAGACTTTTAAATCTTTTTCTTCTTCTTCTTCTTAAAGAAGTCCCGTTAACATTTCTTGTAATACTGGATTTGTGGTGATGAACTCCGTTAGCTTTTTCTTGATTCTAAATGATAGCTTTGCTGGGTAATCTTGATTGTAGATGCTTGCTTTTCATCACTGAATATTTCTTGCCAATCCCTTCTTGCCTGTAAAGTTTCTGTTGAGAAATCAGCTGACAGTCCTATAGGAGCTCCCTATTAGGTAGGTAAACACATTGCTAGAAATGTCAAAATTTTCTAAAGTCATATGAACCTATAATGTAATGAAATTTGGTGAATATCAGAAATAGTTTAATAATTAATCCAAAGTTACATATTTTATATATGGTAGAGACAAGATTCTTTCTAACCTATTCATTTGAATCTGCTAAAATTTACTCCTTTTTAAAGCAAATATATTTTCACACAAATTTATAAAGTACTTCTGTTTTTGAGGAATGATATATTAATTAATATTGATTTTACCATCTGATATTTCATGGCATATGTGTAATTATTTATATATGTGTGTGTGTGTGTGTAGGTGTGTATGTGAGCAACTTGAAGAAAAATACTATATTTTTTCTGTACCCTTAGCTCCTAGCTCAGTACCTGGTACAGGGTAAGTGCTCAATAAATGATCCCTGATTTTAAAAGTTTCTAGCGTATTATCTTTTCAAATACTGTTTTAAATACCTGGGATTTATTTTCCAATTTTCCAAGTTCTCTAACCATACTACCCAAACTAATATTATGGTTTTTTCTTTTAAAAGTTAGAAAGAGGCTGTAGTCCAGTGGTTAAGCACATAAACATTACACCACCAAACTATCTGGGCTTAAATCCCAAATATGTAAGCATAAGCCATAGAAATTTGGGAAAATTACTTTACCTCCTGTTTCTAATTTCTTCATCTGTAAAATGGACATGATAAACCCACCTCATAGGGTAGTCATGATGCTAAATCAACTAATATAATAAAGTACAAAGACCAGTGTTTGATATATAATAATGTACTTAAAAGACTTTTTTTTGGTTATTTTCTGCATATTTCTGTAAGACCATTATGGCTGATGTTTGAAGAGCTAATTTTCTAATCCTTTATTATTTATTTATTTATTTATTGTTAGTTTTTCATATTATTTTGAGTGAAAACTTATTTTGGGATCTTAGTACCACCACTCAGCATGATGTGTCATGTAAATAAAACTTCCTAATAGTCTTTACTTTTGCCAGTGAGTTTTGTCCTTATTTATTCATACCACAAATTTTGAAATCTGTGATTCTGCCCTGTGGTGTCAGTAAGATGTTGTGGAGCACCTTTTAGTTGGAAAAAAGTCAGCTTTCTAGTATCTGAGTTGCCAAAGGCAATTAGTGGACAAGACATACTAAACTCACACTTAGCTCTGTAGTGTAAATGTAATGGAATACATTGTAAATTTACCATATTAAAATGCTGTTAGGATTAAACAATTGAATGCACATATAATAATTATTTCACACCTAGTAAAAATAACACCTTCAAAAATTGTTTGCTGCTATTTGAATGACCACAATCAACATTATCACCATCATTACCATCCCTAATGGACATGTTATAAAGTTACAGATAAAGAAATGATAGAAGAGGTAATAATTAACTTATCTTGGTCACTCTAAGTTTAAAGATTTCTCAGTGTGATATTTGCTCAGGGTCACCCATGGACAGAAACCCTGAGCAGAGTGATTACTCATCACTTTCTCTACCTAAACTTGAACTTTGCAAAACAAATATTAAGAAGGGGAAAGACAAGTTCGAATTTGGTCAATATGTTTATCATTTGGTATGTGCAGCAGTCTCTTGTCTAATCTGTCATAGCTAGGAACAAAAATTTTATTTTACTTCCATGACACACATGCTGCATGAATAAGAACAGATCAGATGGTGAGAGAGAGAGAGAGAAAGAGAGAGAGAGAGAGAGAGAGAGAGAGAGAGAGAGAGAGANAGAGAGAGAGAGACAGAGAGACAGAGAGACAATATCAAAGCCACTAAGTGCCTCTGTAGTCACAGATATATTATAGTCTTCTCTTCCAGATAGTCTAGCATGTTCCAGCCTTTATTTTTATTGTTTGGCAGATATAGCCAGTTTTCCTAAACAAAAAATGTCTTCTTGGATCACATATCCTAGAAGCAGCTTACAAAAATGACCTTATAGCTGGAGACATGCTTGCACTGCATCTAACATAAACCAAGATACAACATACAAAACTACAACAAAATTCTTCTCAATCCCACCCCAACTTGAGTAGTAACCTAAAATTAACCCCCTGTTACTGTATTCACAGGCAATATCATAACAGGCCCTTTAAATCCTGTTTACAAATCTTAGAGTCAGGAATACTCAGAATATTTCATGTTTTCGGTAATACTTTTATGATTCTCTTTATACTTTTATGATTATACAGAGGGTGATCTATCCTTGCCATTCTGTAACCAAAAATAGAATGTTATATGTTGATGAAGCAAATACAAAATAAGATTATATAGATTTTAAATCAACAGTACCTATTGAATAAAGAAAAAAAAAAGGAAGAACCAGAAGAAGGCAATCTTTTTGTTGTAAATACCTCAATATTAATCAAGAAAATGTTCCTGAAATACATTTTAAATGTATAGCCCTCATTTCTTTAAATAACCATAAGATCTTAATTGGTATTTCAGGCTGCCTTTATTACCCATACTATGTTCCTCTTCCTTTCAACTAGCACTTTAACTGGAAAAAGATTACTCACGAGGAGCCAATAGCTAGTCATCCTCTAATCTGGCCCTCATCTTTACAATACTTGAGGTAGGAGCAGTGATAGCACAATAGGTATACACAGATTTGAAGAAAGGCAAGCTGCTTTCAGGTATAATCCCAGAAATACACACTTCCTCTGATAAGCATTATATGATATCTGGCTTGCGGTGAGTCCCTTAGAATACATATTTTTCTGGTGTTATGTGATTAGACATTCAGAATACATCAGTGATTATCCATAGCTAGGAGTTGTTTCTCATAAGAGGCAAACCTAAGGGGCCTCCATGGAAATTATGCTATGAGGACAGAACTTTCTGACCTGCCACAGACACTTTCAGAGCTGTCAAGTTGACAGAAGAAGATGGTCATAGAAGCTGAACAGTCAGCTACTAGCAGCTCAGTGAAGATCATCTGGAGATCCTTTTCTTGTTTTCACCCCTCAATATATGGGAAGTGTATCAGAAAAGCCTGACAATGGAATATTGTTAACTTCAAAATATAGACATCCTAATAAAATTTTCTTAATCAAAGGAAGCTCCTTAGTGGAAGAAAGCTCAAGATATAACTACTTCTTTCATTCTCATGATACTACTTAGACATATATCTGACCATATCATCTCAAGAAACTACTCATAAAAGTTATCTATACCCTGTCTCTCATTTTATTTACTAAGGCATCTAGAGTATTTGAAGAACTACCTGTTCTCTAAGGCTGATCAAATGTTGATATTGATATATCTGACATTTTATGGAATGGTAACATTGTTGAAATCCAAGGAGACCACTACTTGACTCAAACTTTAAGGCTTTATCAGCTCCTTCTTGAGCTCATCCACTACTGGAGGCAATAGTTTGAATCTCAGGTTTGCCATTTGCAGTGTAAAGTGTTCAACAACTTTCAGCATCATATTCTTCAGTTGAAAAATGATAATAATACATTTAGCATTTCACAAGATTACTGGGAAATATATTAGAAAGTACTAGGTAAGATATACAGGAAAATATAAAAGTAAGTTGTTTTTATTTTCAGCAACTGGAGCTAAATTCCATCAAAAGTCATCGGAATGTTTGGAACCTGCATGCCCGGACAACTGGATTGGTTTCCAAAGAAAGTGTTTCTATTTTTCTGATGACACCAAGAATTGGACATTCAGCAAGAGATTTTGTGAATCACAAGATGCTGATCTTGCTCAGGTTGAAACCCTCCAGGAACTGGTAAGAAAATAGTTCTGGCTACAATTAAAAAAACAAAAATTGGCCCTACCAAAACACTCTGTCATTCTATGTGAGAATATAGGCTTAGAACCTGCCTATACATAGATTTTTTCAGCATAAGGAAAGAGGAAAACAGCAGGTGCTGTATTTTGCAGTAGGCCATGTATAATTACCTTAACATTCATGGGAGAAAGATGGCTAGTGCCTTCTTTGAGTTATGAGTAAGAGCTGTGAGTATAGGAATTATAATATTAGAGGCAGAAAAATAATTTTAAATTTCTATGAAGTTAATAGCATTGCTTCAAAATAATCTAGCAGGGAAGATGGTGGAATAGGAAGCTCTTGAAATCTGGACTTCCATGTAAAGAACTATTGAATCAGCAGAAGCACTCTAAAGTAATTTGGAGCTCTGGAGTCTAATTGTACACTTGCAGCATTCAAACGAGAACATGATGAGTACGTTGCTAAATTTCCATTAATCTCAGTGAATTTCAGCCTTTCCACTCAATAATGGTTACCATTCCTCACACCCTATCATAGCAGGGAGCCATAGGGACTGCTGTCCATGTTCAGCATATGCTTCATGTTGTTGGACCTATGGTGGGTGAAGACCTTTCTCTCCAAATATTGGAGTAATGTGTTGTTATTTTTTATTGCTGAGGGGTAGACACAGAAGCAGGCTGCCACCAACTGAAGTGGCTTTCAGGTGATTTAAAGAAATAGTATTTATTCCCCACCCCCCACCCCCCTTTGGGAGCCAGACGTTTAACCAAATCTTTAGCAGGTAATTGGCTAACAATAGAAATAACGGAACAGAAATTTCCATGACTGCACATAACAGGGAATACACATTTTGCAAAAATTGTTTGGAAAAGTGACAAATCAATGGCTCCAAACCTCAATAATCAAATTTCAACAGTCCCTGAAGAGCAAGAAAATTAGATTCCCAAAGTTATCACAACAAAATATTCAAACTGTCCCAGTCTAAACTAAAAATTGAAAACATACAAGAAATAGGAATGTATAGCCTATTTGCAGGAAAAAAAAATCTGACAGAAACCATCTTTGTGGGAACCCAGACATTGGAATTATTAGTCAAAGATGAAAATTCTACTATCTTGAATATGTTTAGTGAGCTAAAGGAAACTATAGACAAAAAAACTGACCAACATATGGAGACTAATATATGTAGTATTGGAATCACAGAAGGAAAAGAGAAAAAGAAGTAGAAAAAATATTTGAAGAAATAATGGTTGAAAACTTCCCAAATTTGACGAAATAGATGAATATACATGTCCAAGAGGCTCAATGAACTCCAAATGGGATAAACTCAAAGAGAAACAAATTGAAACAAATTATAGTCAAGTTGTTGAAACCCAAAGAGAGAAGTTTGAAAACAGAGAGAAACAACTAGCTATGTACATAAGATCCTTAAAAAGATTAACAGCTGATTTATTCTGAGAGACAGTGGAAGCCAGAAAGCTGTGCAATGGCATATTTAAAGTTCTGAAAGAAAAAAAAATTGTCAACCAAGAATTCTGTATCTGGCAAAACTATCCTTCAGAATGAAAAAGAAATTATGATATTTCTAGATAATCAACAACTGAGTAAACTAGTAGATGTATCCTACAAGTGATAATAAAGGCTGAAATGAAAGTACTTAGTAACTCAGCCAAAAGAATAAAGAAAACTCATAAGGGTAACCACACATAAATATAAAAGCCAGAATTACTGTACTTTTGGTTTACTTTGTAACTTCTCTCTTTTCATATACGATTTAAGAGGTAAATTCATAAAAAATTATAAATCTATGTTAGTGGGTATACAGTACATAAATGTGTAATCTATGACAATAATATAAACAGAGAGGGTTGGAGACATATAGGGGCAAAGTGTTTGTATACTATTGAAACCAAGTTCATATTATAAAGTAAGTTATTATAACTTTAAAATGTTAGCAATCCCCAAGGAAACAATGAATAAAATTACTAAAAACTATACAGAAAAGGAAAGAAGGGAATCAAAATGGTTCACTACAAAAAATTCAACTAAATACAAAAGAATGCAGATATAGCTGAAGTGAAGAATTAAGAAAAACATAGAAGATATATAGAAAACAAATATCTAAATGGAAGAAATAAGTCTTTCTTTAACAGAAGTCACATTAAATGTAAATAAATGGATGAAAATATCCTATTAAAAGGCAGAAACAGGCAGATTTTAAAAAAACAAGATTCATCTACATGCTCTCTATAAGAGATTCACCTTAGATATAAGGACACAAAGTTGAAACTAAAAGGATGACAAAAAATATTCCATGTAAATAGTAACCAAAAGAGAGCTGGGTATATTCTTGTCAGATAAAATGGACTAAAGAAAAAATAATTTACAAGAAGCATGGAAAGACATTGTATCTTAATAAAAGTTTTGATATAGCAAGAAGGTCTAATAATCATAAACATATATGTACTGTTGGGAAGATCCCCCCAGGAAGAATCAACCTAAGACAGGCCCTAGCTGCAAGATGGCTAGCTAGCCCACGACGGGTAAGATTCTATTCCTTGAGGAGGACGCCTAAGACAAGCACAGTCATACCGCGATGCCAACCGCAGCCTCATTATCATTATTTGCCTTATTAATAAATAAAAAAGGGGGAGAATAGTCTCTTAGTAATATTATAAATAAAAAAGGGGGAGATGTTGGGAGCCAGCTGCGCCTCAGTGTCTGACATGGCCAAGCACACTGCCGCTGTAATAAATTCTGAAGCTCTGACTGAGAAACAGATACTGTTTTATCTCTTAGAAAACTTATATTCCCCTTTAGACACCCAATAGGGTGAAGATCTGACTCCCCTCCCGATATTGATTATTTTATTTACCTTAATCAACTTAGTAACTCTTGTATATTACTATAATTCTATTTTATACACTAAAAGCAGTTTTAGTCACACTGCTAGTCTCTTAGTAATAGTAAAAATATATACCCTGTGAGTCTTGAGATCCTGTTTAGCTAGTAGTGTTTAGGATAATTGCTGGATAGCCATGGGAACCATTCTTTAGGCTATGATGTAGGAACTCAGCTCTAGCCATATAGTAATTATAGGTCAAAGATTGAAACATAGTTAAGATAAGTATAGAACAGGTATAGCTGTACCCTGTAGCATAAGAATTGTTAGGGTGTGTAACTCTGAGAAAAATAGCCTATATGGAAAAATAACCCTGGGAAAATAACAT